CCCCACCCTCCTCTTGCCATAGACAGCTTGAGCGGAGGATGCCGTGGGGCCAGACCTGTCCCCAGCCCTCCTGCCTCCGGGTCCAGACCTGGTCCAGACCCCCCGGCTGCTGCGAGGTGCAAGCCTGCAGGGACGAGCCGGGAGACCTGGTTTGGGTGCAAGGAGCGTGGTAGACGGCGCCCTGTCTGGCAGAGATCTCGGTGGTGAACGTCGATACTGGCTGTCCCTACCTAATAGGGGTCCTTGGTATTCCTCGGATGTCCTCTGGTTCTGATTTATTTAGAGTGCCCTCCTCTGTATTGCCTTAATCCTACTCACCATAGATTTTTCATTAAAACCTCTCCTGGCTGTCGGCATTGTTACTGTTAGTTTCTGGTCGGCGCAATCTGTTTTCCCGTCTTCCTTTCCTCGCCCCGGGAGCCCGGACGGGTTTCGAAGGACCGTGGCCTTCGTTCGCAGCGTCGAGGTTGCGGTCCTGCGGTTGGGTTTCCCAGCGCCCCTAAGGATGCTCTCCTGGAGCCGGCCCTGTGTCCCTTATCGCACTTGGGATACTTCCCTCTTACCCGGGTGGTGTGGGGTTTTTCTTTTAAAATACTGAAGAAACAAGGTGATAGGGAGGGGAAGAGAGGATGCGCAGTAAATGGGAGGTTAACCGTCCAAGCGGGGACGAGCGGAACGGTGCATTGAAGTAGGAAACTCTCCCGGAGGTTGAGCTCGTAGCGGTGGGGATGGAGTGCGGGGAAATAAAAAGGAAATGAAAGGGCTGTTAAGGGGAAATGGAAAAAAAAAATCGCTTAGGCTGGAAAGACGTCTTCCCAGCAGGAGCGAAAGCCCAAAACGGATAATGTCCGCGGCATTTAAAGTAATGTTTCACACTTCCAGCTCCGGGGACGCGTGAGCAGGCGGGGAGGGGAAGGGCCCACCTCGTCGCGCAGCGGTTTGTGCAGCTGGATGCTGGATGGCACAGGGGGAACAAGAAGCAACCGCGAGCAAGCGCAGAGGAAAAATCAGTTAGCACAGGCGCCGCTAGGAAGAGTCGGGGGGAGATGCTGGGGAGGAACAGGGTGGGTTTTTTTCGTTCCGAGGCAGGGGCCTTTGAAAGCCGCCCTTTTGGGAAGCGAGAGCCTCGTCAAGGGGTCAAATTGTTGAGCCTGCCATAAGCGCTGCTCTGCCGCGTCGCTCGCGTGTGTTTGCGGGACCGGGAGCAGAGCTCGCTGCTGCCCCGGAGCTGACGGATGGCAGGATGCTGGTGTGTGTGTGGTTGTGGCACCGGGCAGGGACAGGGAGCAGTGCTCCCATGGGTGGGAAGGAGTGTCCGCGTCAAGCAACGCAGACCGGCGTCCTGGGGAGGGAGGAGGCTCGAAAGGAGCAGCCAGACCTCTGGCTCGCCCTTGCTCCCTCCTTGAAGAACTTGAGAATGGGCAGGAGAGCAAAGGCGGGCGAACGAAGATGTGGCGGCAACCGGCCGTGATGTGACGGCGAATTCAAAGCCATAGGGAGGCCAGAGAAAAGCTGGAAGGGATAGCAAACATTGAAGATACAAGCAGCTGTAGGGGGAATAAAAACCAAAAAAAGGATGAGAAGAAAAGAAAACTTGTAGAACAAAGGGAGGAGAGAAGGCAACGTGCGCACACGGGAAAGCACGGAGCATCAAAAGAGCGGGAGGAAGCACAGGGGGGAAATGAGAGAGCGATGGAGGAGCGAGGGCACGGGGAGGGGGAAGGTCTGGAAGAGAAAGAGCGGGAAGAAAACAGCACCCACCGCCCAGGCGGGAACCGCCGCCGGTCGTAAAGCGGCCGGCGAATCTGGGCGGGAGTACGGAGGAGGGATGGGGCAGGTTGCACCCAGAGCGTCCTCCGGGTCCCGTTCTCGAGGCTTCGTGGAATCGGCAAAAAGGAGCTGTCGGGATGTGCTGCGGGGACCGGGAGCCGGTGGAACGAAAGCCTGGCGGCAGCTGATTAATTACTGCAAAAACAAAAACGGGGAAAAGAGGGGGGAGAGCCGGAGGAGCTGTTTCCCCATTATATTTCCGAACAGAAAGAGCGTTTTAGCACGCGCGCAAATAGCTCCCTGGGAAGCACTCTCACTTCCTAATTGTTCATAAATTTACTGACAGGTGGTTACACAGTAGGTAGAACGCTCGGAGTTTCGGTTTTAATGCTTTCCTTGCCTCAACGTGAAAACCTGGAGAAAAAGGGTTGCCTTGAAGAGCCAGAGAAGGGAGAGGGAAGATCTGTGTGATGTGACACGAATCGTTCTGTTGACCAAAGCGTAGCTGTCGGATGCGCTTGATCCGTTAGATCTCCTCTACAGCCTACTGTAGGTGACCCTTCTTCGTCATGAGGGTTGGACGGGGTGACCCACAGAGGTCCCTTCCAACCCCTACCATGCTGTGATTCTGTGATTCTGTTATCTCGATAAAATCCATCCTGACGAGCCTCTCGGTCATCAGAAGAGGTTGGATCAGAGGTGGTCCCTGGCTGGGCGCGTGCCCGCATCTCTGCCCACAGAGCACCAGCCCCAGGCAGGAGCTGCTCTTGGGAAGGTCTTGTGCCGGTGGTGCCTTCAGCAGACGGGCAGGGACAGACTGGATGCTGCCGGCACCTTCCTGCTGTGCTCCTCATCCACAAAGGTGATGGAAAGCAGAGGCAAAATGTGAGCTTTCAGCAGATTTGCCTGCTTTGTGCTGACTTTCTGTACGCTAATGAGTCCTTGTGTGGTGACACCTCTGACAGCTCCATCCCACCTGTGGCGGGGAGGCTGACGAGGAGGGAGCTGGCTCCAGCGCCGGCGGGCGTCCGACCCCTGTTAGGGTGATGGTCCCAGTCCCTGGCACTGACGGCATCACCCGTCGGCCACGCTGCCACCAGAGGGGCGAAAGAGCAGGACACTGCATCTCCCCAAAATAGGTGTTTGAGAGGGGGTGGTAGGTGAGGTGCCAGGGCAAGAGCATCCCCTGATGCCCCCCTCTGCGGGCAGGGACATCCTTGTGGGGACCCTTCCCACCAGTAGAGTCAGGCAAATGGCCATCGTCTGGCAGTTTGCAGAGCCCGTAGGTATCCATCGATCATCTCGCGTTATCAGAGGTGCAGGAAGAGGTCTCTTCTAATGGATTAGGAGCTAATGATGTGGAGGAGGGACATCAGTCGCCTGCGTCAGCCGCGGCGCTCGTGCAGCCTCCCCGCACCGAGGCGTGCAGCAGTAATGATCTGGCAGCTAAAAATAGTTGGCGGCGGGCGGCTCCGGCCGGGATCGGCCGGGAGATGAGTCAGCCTGCGCGCGGGCACGCGTGTCCGCGTCACGCGGAGCCCTGGGCA